ACAATAAAATGTTACTACATGACGGTGTGCATTTCTTAACTGACCAAGCCCTCTTTCTATTTTGTATTGTTTCATGGACCTTTGATCTTAGATAGTGTTTGTTATCTTTCATGCAACTATAATTGTCTTTCCGTCCGATATCTATTGTCCAGAGCATACCTTCTCTCTAAATGGCCCAATCTGACTTATGCTTCACCCACAGAGTCCCTTTGGATGGAGGGTGACCTTAATCCATGTTTCTAGGTCAAATGTTAAGGTCATAACAAAATTATATGCAAAATCCTTGTCCGGTGCATATCGACTCTCCCCTTGGTCCAAGGTGGCTCATACTCCGCTTACAGAGTGCCACTGGTCAAAGAATGTGCGGTTACCATAAATGGAGTTTCTACGTCAAGGTTCAAGATCAAAAATTGCCTCTCTGCTTAAAATCTTTGTTTTGTGCATAGTTTCTTACCCTTAAGTCCAGTCAGCCTAAAACTTTACCAACTGACTTAGAGTACGAAACATTTGTGATTTTCCTTCCATATTTTAATAAGGGATATGCAACAAATTTCAAAGAGAATATATTTCTTAAATTTTTGTTTTTATTTTATTATTTCTTGGGAGAGGGGTTACGTTTTGTCCCCTTTAGACTCAAACAACTTTAAAATAAACCCTTTTCAGGTACTTTATATTTTCATGTTCGTTGCTGAAAGCGGGACCCTTTGAGATGACCCCAATCTTAATGATATCTAGTTTTAAAAGTTTTAAATGCTTTTTAAGCAATTGCAATGCTCTTATTGTTTGATAAAGAAATACGAACTTAAGTTGAATTTGCGTTAGTGGTTAAAAAAAGAGTGATTTTGATAACATCAATTTACTAAAATCTACCAGAACATAATTGTCCATTTGGGGTTAAGTAATCCGTTTTTCGCATGAGGAGAGGGTCATAATGAAGTTTACAAATTGATCAGAACAGAATTAACACAATAATGTAATGTGCTTAAAATGCTCAATTTAATTTATGTTCCTTAGTTCTCCTGCCAAACAACTGAGCTTGTTTTTGTTAAAAGCAGAAAAGAAAAACAAAATTAAATAACATCATGTAGAAGTGATTTAATTTTATTAAAGTAAATGAAAGAAATAAAACAGTTAACAAAATTGTAGTGAAAAAATGGGACTCAAATATATAGAGTATCACACATATAAATATATATTTATGTTCCTTAGTTCTCCTGCCAAAACGAATGAGCTTGTGTTTTGATAAAAAAGGCAAAAACAAATAACATCATATTGTATCATGGCTGCGGTGTTTTTCCTTTAAAGTCAAGTGTACAATAACTGGAGATACACCAATGGGCGTTTCCAGAAAAAAAAAACTGTGCCGTGTATATGGGCGGAGCCAGCAAAAACTGTGCCGTGTAAATAAATTATTGAACACCAAGGCGATTTCATCATTTTAAATTACATGTATATTGAATCTAAATTACAGAATGAATGGGGTTTGTAATACACAAATGCAAAAATTCTGCAAGCGAAATAAAAGTCTTTCACATTAATTACAGTACGTATATATCCCAAACTACGAAATGATTTTACGGAGCTCTTCAAATATTCAATCCACAGCAACGCCAAATCAAATTCTTTACATGAATTCCACACAGAAATATATTAAAATATCCCACCTATTCTAATATAAGGCTTACGCTGTACTGCATCCACAGATGAAGAGTAATTGACCCTGACACAGCGTTTTCGTGAATACGACAGCTCTCGAATATGTCAAATGATCAACGGGTATCTTTTTTCTTTATTTTCGAATAACACTTGAATTTACCTTCTTCAACTTCGATTTTTTCTTCTTTGATATCCAAAGGTTTTCTTGTGAATTTCGTTAACAATCCAAGGGCGAATCCAGCAATATTTGAAAGGGGGAGGCTCCAGGTCGGTGCCCCCAGCACTCATGCACAGAATCACACCTGCCACTTTAAGTCCGTAGCTACATTTAAAAGAAAGGGGGCCTCCAAAAACAGTTGACAAGAAAAAAAACCTTTGCACCACACTCTAAAATCCAGGGGTGTGTGTGCTGGGATGCTGCAATCCGACGTCCTTTCTCATGAACACACGCACATAAAATGTTTATTAAAAATACTGACAGAAAGGAGAGATTATCCATGCGGTCATCTGACAAAAAGTACATTTTCTATTGGTGTAATTAAAAATCATGCTGAAAATCTGTGACATGACGTTTGATTGGCCATGATACAAGAAAGTTATTGAATATTTATTATGGTGTATCCTGATTTATTTGGACGTAGGGCGGAGATTCGTGCTTCGCACTCGTCACCGCCCTTCGTCCAAATAATTTAGGATACACCATAATAAATATACAATAACTATTACTTGAAGTGAAATATGTCATTTATTAAAGTAAATGACGGAAAAGTAAAACACAGTTAACAAAATGGGGTCAGAAAAAGGAGGACTCAAATATAGAGTATCACCATCTTAGGCAAAATATTGCACAATCTGACCCCCAGCACCATAATGACATTGTAACATGATGTACATAGGAAAAGGGGGAGTCAACCAGACTAGATTAAGAATTTTAACCCTTTAATCTTTGACAAGATACTAAATGCATGTATTTAAAGTTGACTCCTTATAAACATCATAAGATTAAAAAACCATATACAAAATGTTCTTAACTACTGCCTGCCATCAAAAAAGGTGGGTAAAACAAATAAACAAACAGCCAATAACAAAACGTAATAACAGACATCCGCTGCATGCCATATGTCAACCTAAAAGATTGATTGATTGAATATTGTTTAACGTCCCTATCGAAAACTTTTTACTCATATAGAGACGTCAACCATAATAAATAAAAGAAATAACAAGCATTGAAGGCAGATGGGTTAAATGGTAGGTTTGAAAAATTCAGCAGTTCAATAAACCTTCGTTTCCCTTTTTGTAAACATAAGTAATTATCATGTAACGGATAAAAATTTGCTGATTGGATGAAGCCATGCCATATTTAGCTATAGTAAAGTGTAAAACTAGTTCAATAAATTGATCAGTATAGCCGCTCAGTAAAAAATTAGGTACAATACAAACACTGTTATATAATAGAAATTTTAAACCAAAACATGACCTATAAATAAAATTATTTGCAATAAGTACTTTTTAATGTACCTTAGTTCTCCTGCCAAACGACTGAGCTTGTTTTTAGGTCACCTGAGTAACTCAGGTGACCTATTGCTATCTGTTTTCGTCTTTCGTCGTCCGTCGTGTGTTAACATTTGAACATTTTTAGCTTCTTCTCTAAAACCACTGAACCAATTTCAACCAAATTTGGTATACAGCATCTATGGGTAAAGGGAAACATAAATTGTGAATTTCATGGTCCCTGCCATCTGGAGCCTGAGGGGTGGGGCCATAACCACTAAAATTATTGCAATCTTTAAAAATCTTCTTCTTTACTCCTGGACACTAAGCATGCAAACAGTTGACATGAATGTAATGAGCATTGAGTTCTCTACCAAAATTGTGAAATTCATGGCCCCAGGGTCAGGGGTTCTAGTGCTAAGACGCGGCTATATAGATTATATAGTGAAAATGCATTATTTCTTTTAAAAATTCTTCTCTGCTCCCGGGTAAGTACATAGTTATGAAGAGCAAGAGTGCCTCTTCCAGATTTGTGAATTTTATGGTCCCAGGGTCAGGGGTGCTGGTGTTAAGGCGGGGCTCTATTGATTATATTGTGAAAATGCATTTATTCTTTGAAAATCTTCTTCTCTGCTTCTAAATATTAAATAAACTAAGCATATAGTTATGATAAGCAAGAGTGCCTCTTCCAAAATTGTGAATTTTATGGCCCCAGGGTCAGGGGTTCTGGTGTTAGGGCGGGGCTCTTTTGATTATGTAGTGAAAATGCATTAATTCTTTGAAAATCTTCTTCTCTGCTTCTGGGTATGAAATAAACTAACTAAGTACATAGTTATGATAAGCAAGAGTGCTTCTTCCAAAATTGTGAATTTTATGGCCTCAAGGTAAGGGTTCTAGTGTTAGGATGGGACTCTATTGACTATAAAGTCAAAATACATAAATTCTTTGAAAATATTTTCCTTTGCTTCTGGGTTTTATGCCAATGATTCAAGTATATATATTTATTATGAAGAAAGGTGCATCTAGCAAAGTGTTTTTTTTTTGCCCCCTGGGTCAGAGGGGGGGGGGGGCTACATAGTCTGAAAATAAATTAATGCTTTGAAATCTGCTCTTTCGTATTAATCAACCATTTTATTATAAAATATGCAAAATTTTGAAATATGTTGCCCCTGGGTCAGTGGTTCCTTTGGGGGTGAGGTGCACAACTGGGTATAAAGTGGAAGTGCATTTTCTCTTTATTACTCTGATCTACCTCTAGGTATTAAGTACATAGAGTAAGCATGCTAAGTTAATAATTATGATAAGCAATAGCGTCTCTTTCAAAATTGTGAATTTCATGGCCTCTGGTTTAAAAGACGAACCAAATTTAATTGTTTGAAATTTGTTACACAATACTCAGGTGACCTATAAGGCCCGTGGGCCTCTTGTTTTTTGTTATAAACAAGCAAAAACAAAGGGGACTCAAATAAAGAGTATTACACATCTAAGTCAAAATAAACAATCTGACCCCCAGCACCATAATGACGTGGTTACTTGATGTACCTAAGGAAAAGGGGGTCAACCAGACTAGAATACGAAATCAAACCCTGTAATCTTTCACAAAATACAATATTAAAGTCCTGTATTTCAAGTTCATCCTTATAACGTCAAAAGAGTAACAAAAACATTAAAAAATGATCTAAACTGCTGCCTGCTATATAAAAAAGGTGGGTAAAACAAAATAACAAACAGATACAATGCAATCATAGATTGAATCCACCCTGAAAGTCATCTCAATCCACGTTGACTCCATGTTTTTTAATCCATAAATTGATTAACATTTAAATAAAAATCCCAGAAATTTTATATCTTTCGTTTTATATTTTTAAACAATATGATGGCTGTTTCTCTTTCTTTATAAAATAAGGTGGTTGATTCTTTTTCAATAACTATTTCACAAAGTTTTCCTTGTGATTTTTAAGAAGACATAGGGAATAAATAAATATACAAAAAGAAATTGATTCTAGTTAACAAAATACACAAACAGACAAAAAGATGGGGGTAAAAAGAACAAAAAAACAAAAACAAAAAAAAAAACAAAAACAAAAACAAAACAAAAAAGTGCTGTCTTTAGACATTAAAACGATTCTCTCCGATAGTTTTTAGGTAGTTTTCTACAAAATTGTAGATGTATTCCAGTTGTGCCTAAAACAGATAGAAAATAAATATTAGAAGATTACTGTAAAAAGAATCTTCAAGTTTATTGGCTGTTTTTGAATTATAGGGGCCTACAAAACTTTTAAAGTTTACAAATCAATTGGAAAAAGCAGACAAAAATACTTACACGAAAATCACGGCGGCAATAAAAAATAAAAGAGAACGATATATTTGGAAAAAAAAGATTTCAGTACCATTATATTTATAATTTATATACAATACGATAAATAGTCATTTAATTTTCATATTGTTCCCCGTATAACATAGATTAATATATATTTTAGTATCTGCTCTACTATACATGTACTTGTCTACATAAATGCTAAATCAAAGCATGTAAAACAACAGGTTCTTACCAAACACGGAACAATTTGAATTCGTCGGTGACGCATGTTAACTACCGTCTGCAGAATGTCAACTGTACCAAACAGCTGTATTTGTTCAACAAGATTAGCCAAAACACAAAACATCCCGCTCTGTTTGGCGCCATTCCTTAAAAAATACAATAAAAGTAATTCCATATCAGGAAAAGAACAACTAGTCCAGTCAAACTGTCATAAACCTCAAACAAATTGCAACAGAATTTTTTTCTTTATTTACAATTAGTAAATTGTATTCTAATTCACGTATAAAAACTTTAGAAAAATATATAAAGGCGAAATATGTCTTTTTTAGAAATAAATATTTACTAGTTTTAAGAAATATGTATTGCAGAAGTGTGCTACCATATGTAACAAGGGAGACAATTTTAACCACTGTAAACAAAACTTTTTTCATGTTAAAGGTACTTGGACACAGATTTGAAGTTAATATTTTCTCATTTTTTCTGTATAATATCACGAATTATATATTTTAATAGCATTTCACACAAAAATTAATTAAAAATCTTATTTCATTTAAAAGTTATTAAAACTTTAAATTTTTTGGCAGGTTTAATTGACACGTCCTTGCACTTTCACAAATTTTAACTTTATTCTTAATCCTTAGGAAAAGTGGCAATTTTGATGTGTTTTAATGAGAAATATTAAAACTTTTATCAAGAAAAATAATTTTATTCAGAGTAGAAATGTTAGAAAGGAAAACACCTTCACAAGTATCGTCATTCCGAACTAAGAGATGCGTAAAGAGTTTAGCAAATCGAGCACACTCGTGTTATGTACACAGTTTTTGTAAACAGGGCTCGAGTTCTGTTATTGTTTATATTTAGAATTCACCGGGTGCGTTCAATCGTCACAGTCTGCTTACCACAACTGCACGGACTGACAATATATTGTGTGTTTGTTTTGCTTTCGAACATGTCTACTCTGAATTTTCTGGATTATAGTATTAATATTTTTCATTTATACAAAACGAGACTGCCACTTTTCCTAAGGATTAAGAATAAAATTAAATTTGTGAGAGTGCAAGGATATGTCAATCAAACCCGCCGAAAAATTTGAAATTTCAATATCTTTTAAACGAAATAAGATTTTTAATTAATTTTTTTGAGAAATGCTATTAAAATATATATGTCGTAATATTATGGAGAAAATAATAACTTCAAATCTGTGTCCAAGTACCTTTAAACAAGCATAATAAAATTAATAATTCATTTTGTAAACATTCTAGGATTTATATTTCACCTATTTATTGAAGAAATAAGAATTGAGAATTTTATATATGTCTAAATGTATTGTTAACTTCTCCTTAACTAGATGTTTGAAACATTAGAGGAAATAATCTATGGAGAGTTGTTAGTTCTTTTTTTACAACATAAAAATATTTTATTATCTAAAAGTTAATCTTTTGTTGTTTGACTTTGTTGAAAGATTTTTTTTCTTTTTTAGAATAATGATTCTATTAGTGAGATCTACTTTACTAGTAAAAATACATGTAATATAGATTAGAACACCTTTAAAAAAATGTTTGGTTTGCCTCTCCCGACCGACTGACTAAAATGGCCCGTCTCAAAACTTTTTTTTTTACATTCCAGGACATGAATTTTTTTTTTTTATACTCGTACATGTAGCTCTTATCTCATCAACAAATATGTTGAAATTTTCTGGAAAAAGGATTTTACAAATAATTTTAACCTGAGTCTGGAGAAGCATTATTTGTTTATTAAATTGTTTATTTGCATTAAACAAGCATTATTTAATAGATGCCTTTATTCTTACCTGTGTGTGTGTGTGTGTGAGGGTGTGTGTGTGTGTGTGTGTGGGTGGGTGTATTTAGTATTGCAAATTACCAATGGTGCTCATTATGTAAAGTTTATTTTACTGTATTTGTAAACATATTTCTTAAACATTATGAATAACTTTGATTTACATTTGGCTAGGGATTATTTCTGAACATAACCCTGGATCCAAGTAGGGTCACACAAGGGATTTAATTTTATGGGAAGTCTTTGAAATAGGCCGCATTGTAAGATTTTCATATATATTTTTAAAAAATATCCTTTGATGTAATAGATTTGTGCATTTCAGCTTTTTAAAAACTACGCAATATTTTCGACTTATCCAAATTACAACAGACTGGGGGATCTTTTTCGTGGGACCTCTGTTTATAGGTCTCATCTAAAAGGCCCAGATCGGTTGATAGTATGTTGTTTTAGTCCTCGAAAATTTTAATTGTCATAAGAAAGACTCAATGCCATAGATAAATAGCACTAGTTTGTTTGATTGTTGTTTAACATCCCTCATAAAAATTCTTCACTACTGTGGAGACGCCACCATGCACTTGCAAGTGGAGAGCTGCAAATTTTGTCCTTTACTCGGACCTCGGTTTATACATGTAAGTCTCATCCAAAGGACCCAGATTGCTTGATTGTGTGATGTTTTACGCGCTGCTTGAGAACTTTTTACTTAAGGAGGCTGGGGGGTCAACAAATTAACCACCAGATTTAACTTAATTTTTTAGATATGATATCTAAAGCTGTCTATCATTTGGCAAAGAAAAATTTCAAAACTTTTAGTTTAAAAATTTTTATCATTTTCTATGTATCTTCATATGGAGCTCTTCTTCTAAAGGAGATCAATATAGTCTGAAAATGGCCACCATCCCCAGCCTCTTTAAATAAAAACTTCACCATATACCGAAGGGCTTCAAATTTAGACTTTTACTCGGTGCTTAGGGCCATCGAGCAGTGAGGGTTCTTTATCACCAACGACTACTTGTAACATGAAACGCTCCCATCCCGAAGACCTGCAACGTTTACTTCAAAGTGCCAAGAGCTTAATTAATAATGTGATATCCCCCCACCACACATTTTTACAAAATAAATCCGAAAGAATATAAAAACTAGCAATGAACATTATACTGAATGCATTGAGAAGCAATTCGGATACTATATTGAGGTTAACATTTAGGAGAGGAACCAGTTCCAGTTTCAAGATAATCATTAATGCATTTTTAGGGATTCCATGGCATCTTCAGCGGATTTTATTGTTTTTTCTTTTATATCTTTAAGTTAACGTTTCAATTAAAATCAATGAGAGGTTCTGGCTTTGAAGACTTCGTTCAGGTTTTTACTCAACTATAGATATAACATATTTCGAATGAATGTCGCATGCATAATTGCATATGCATTGCTTTAACGGTAGATATGTCGGGGAGAGCCCCCTCCCTCTGAATTTTTTAGAATTAAAAGGTTATTCCGATATGTAATGTCCATGAACCTATTCCCTAAAATTAAAATGTTAAGAAGTCATAAAGGTTATAAAAATAGACCACGCCATCCCCTGAAAGAGGTATTGAAGTTTGAGGTAATTTTATATAGGGATGAGTATCGCCAAAAATTCCGTATCACGATATATCACGATTTTCCCCCCAAAATATATCACGATAATATCATGATATTTTTACAAGCAACTCTCACTTTAGATGACATTATTTTTCTTAAAAATATGCTAGAAAAACAAATTTTCACTTTTTTGAAATTTTTATCTACATAAAATTGATCATGCTGGGATGGTAAGGTGACGTTTTTTCACCTTTTACAATTCTTTTTTAGGCTTTCCTTAATTCTTATTTGAAAGGTTATATAAATAAATAACTAATTTCTGGACTTTGTGATATGTACCTAAATATCGGTATTTAGGTCTCCGTATCACAAACAATACGTACAGTGTATTACCCCCCCCCCCCCCCACCTCCACCACCAAAAAAAAAAAAATGCGATATACCGGATTTTCGATAAAATCAAATATCCTTTGTAATAAATCTATTTTTAGTATTTATTTTAGATTCTTATTACTTGTTTGTTTATTTACTTTTGCTTGTCAAAAAATTATGAGACATAACATCTATGAGATTTGATGCCCCCCCCCCCCCCCGGAAAAAAATATTGGATGTCTGTGCTTACATTATTATCCCCTATAACTTTTTAAAAATTATCATAGGTCCTCACTAATAAATTAATGCTATACTAATTCATTCCTACTATAGCTACATATTTTTGTCCCTGCACTAAGCCATACTAAGGAATTGGAAAGGTTTTATTTTTCTATTATTTCTGTTGCCATGGGAACAGGAATCCATAGCAACTAATGAAATAATAACCGGTTTCAGTTTGCAGACACATTTATGCATGACTTTCAGAAAATTTCAAGATAATATTCCTGGCAAAACTTATTTTAAGCATAAATAGAATGTCTATTCAAAAGGAGATTTATTGACATTTTTGAACAAATATTGCGTTTTTTGATAATCGAAATAAAATGACGTTTGGACAAATATATTTTTCTAGAGTTTTGATATATCAAAAGGCACATTATGAATAACAATTCCACTGGAATAATTTCTGTTGCAATTTGTTTGAGGTTTGGGTGTTTTTGAGCTAGATTGACTGGACTAAACGAAATATTCAAATTATGCCTTGAAAATGCGTTGTTGCAAATACAGGATTAAAAATTTTACAATACTTGTATGTTTTTAAACACTTAATCTGCTTTTTATTTATCAGGATGGATGTACAAATGTCCTTTTTTCTATATTCTACATTTTGTCAAATGCATACATTAGAGGAAGTGTTAAATGTATATGAACAATTTCTAAAACGAGTTAAATTATTGACAAGCAAGTTGATGAAACAAGAATATCAGCAGACTCGTTTTAAGTCATCATTACGTAAGTTCAAAAACCTCCATGGCACCTGATCCCACCTCTGATGTTTTGGAGGTCCGTATTTGCTCTGCTCCTATTTTGTATTGTTTTATGTACTCTGATATTAAATACTGTTCGTTATCTCCATATCCTTCCTATTATTCTACAAGAATGTTAACATTTTAAGAATTAACTCATATTTGAACCGTCCCATGCAAAAAGGGTCCTTAAGGTTAAAATTATCAAAATTGACTTTTCAATGGATTATGATAGCACACAGTGTAAAATGACCAAATATCAAGTTTTATTCAAATATTCCAACTAATGACTCAGATACAGGCAATCAAAGTTACAAAAAATATTGAAAAGACGCTTAAAATGACGCTAAAAAATGACGTTAAAAATGGGGT